ACTCTAGGTCTCTCTATGTATGGCCTAGGCTCCCCCTCTTTTCGAGCGTTCAAAGTAATCAAACCTTTGCCACGACCTGGAAAATCAGAGATGGCGAGGCTATACTTGTCCAGCTCCTTCTGCAAGCACGCAATCGACTCACTGCGAAGATTGCTGGGCCACTCATTGATGCCAGAAAACTTGTCGGACGGGTCAGCACTGATCGACAACCACTCTATGGCCTGAGATTCCGGTTCAAGCTTGCCACCGTCAATGAACTGGAGCTCTGAGATTGCAGCCGGCGCTTGACCGGCACTTGCAACTCAGCCATGGCCTTCTTCAGCAAGTACTCCTCGCAGATGATCTGTGAGTGATTCATGCTGGCTTGGACGGTCCACCAGCATAAAGCACTCAGAACCCATGAGGCGACACGCCAAAGGCAAAGCAGGATGGCTTGATGTTGGGAAACCGACAATGTAGCCCACCCCTTGCAAACGTGCCACATCCTCCATGAGCTTCTTGTAGAAATCCACGGGGCGGGTGAATGGAAACAAGTCCACCAGGAAGTCTCTCTCCTTCTTCGATTCAGCCAAGTCAAACTGATCCTCATCATCTTCGATGTCAGCCGGACCATCAGTGTCCTGCATCTCCAAGTTCTCTTCTTCAAGGTCTTCTGTGTTGATCTCCTTGCAGCCATCGGATTTTCAGCCGTATATTTGAACAAAAACATGGCAACGTGCAAAGAAAAAGGCAAACTGAGCAAAACGCAAATGGATGGCAGTGCTCAACCCGCTCGGCCCAACTATCAAAAAAATTGCCACACTGACACAACTGGACAACCATTTTTGGAAACGTTTTGTGACAAGCTCCTGCCTGCTCGGGGCCACCATTCACATCCAAGCTTTTCTGAGCTTCTTCTGGCCGATGTTTGCAGTGACGATCAGTGCAACGCAAGCGCGCCATCTCGATGGGCTTGGCTCGGGCCGTAAGCGCAGAGCACCATGCGGGCACAACGCAGTTCGACACAGTGGCACTGTGAATCAAGGCCACGAAGCCTGGGCGCCTCTTGTGCACCTGCTCTTGCCCACTAGTAAGTTGCACGACAAAACTGTTGGCCTTGCCACTTCCATCCTTGAACAAAGCGTTTGCCCGTTGGCAGATGGTGTGCAAAAGATCCAAGCGATGACCAGCCACAGCGATGATGCTCCACTTTTACAGACCCAGGCTGGAAACTGCATCATGGATTTGTTCCAAATAGCCTCAGAGCGGAGCATTCATGCTCAGAAATCAACGGCGACGTCAGACAATTAAAAAGGATGCAGTTACTGAAAACCTAAAAGAATCAATGATCAGTGACTCGGGTAAAATGCTGTGAAGCTGCAAAAACAATTGCGGCTATTGAGAATTTAGACCATCTGAACACATATTGCGCCCGAAGTCAGCCATACGAATTATCTTGAAAACTCTCTGCATGCAGCCGAGACTTCCCAGATACACCAAACAAATTTGTGAAACATGCGACCAAAAAATAGAACCGTACACCGCCGAACAAACTGCAAGGGCTAGAAAAAACGATGCAAGAACTTGATCCAAGGGACCGATGGAAACCTTGTGACGCGATGTCTGAGCGTCAATGATGAAGCCAACCCGTTGCGAAGAGATGAAGTTGCTTTTCATGGCCTCCCGGAGATCGTTTACATGCCTGAAGACTCTGATCCTGCCCATTTCTTCAGAAGCGGCCAACTTCGCTTTCGCAACCTGGGGATCCTCATCTTCTTCAGGCTGCAGCATAGCTTCCATGGCCTCATCCTCCTGATCCTCAGGGTCTTTCGCTCGACTGATTCTCTGACTTCTACAAGATTGATCCATGCGCAAGTACATAGATCGATGCACATCGGTGGAGGTCAATGAAACAGATGGTTCGATGCAAACACGCAGAGGTAGATCAAAATGATGACACATAGAGCCGCACACATAAGTGCTCTATCTCAGGAATTATGTACTCTACTCATCTATAGGGCTATCCATCCGTCAATCTATCTACTTGTTTATCATGTTTATCACTTGATCTATTTGATTTATCTCTCTATCTGTCTCTACGTATCTTTCTATCTGAGCTAGCTATCTACCTATCGACCTATCTGTCTATCTATCAATCTATGTATCTGAACTCACTTGGGATAGTCGGAAGTCAGACAGACTTCTAAACTTCCTTGGAGTATTTCATGAGCAAAATGACCCCCAGAAAAAACACTCCTCTGCAGTCTGCGGCGTCAGCGGCTCCAGCTTCAGTAGCTGCAGATTTTCCTGAGGCTGGGTCTGACCCGGCTAGCTGCTTCGACATCTGCATGTAGATTCGATCGCACGGCGCTCCACAATGCCAGGCGTCGACTCACTAGTGCCATGCAACGAAATCCCCGCAGTGTTGCAGCTCTTCACCTTCTCGATGCCCGAAGGAGAATGGAAGCTCTTCATGACTCGCCAGAACTGTGCATTTTCTTGAGCGATGCGACCGAACTTCTTGCATATCATGTTTTGCCAGACTTCGGCAGCTCGCAAGGGAACGCACGCGCTTGACTTGAACCACGAGGCGCTCACTGGCCTATCTGACTTCCTCAGAGCTACAGGGACTGGGTTACAGTTAGTTTCTCTCGCAGTAAGTCACTGTGTCTGCAATGAACACATCATACATTGAAACTCCACCAATCGAGTCGGCTTTCCAAAAACGAATCTCTCGGTTTAGCTGTGAACTGCAGGAACGGGGTTTGTCGAAGATGTATGTCTGCGGCATGTTGCTGTATGTTGCAGTCCCGAGGGCTTGCTGAATTTCACTGGGCAAGTGGGACTCGGCTCTTTTCCACACCAGAACCGTGATCTTTTTGCCGCTGCCGTAGACCTTCAGAATCTCTTCTACCGCAGCCTCTGCATCGCCTGAAGGAACTTTGGCTCGCATGTTCTTGATCACCAAGAGTTTTTGCTCCAAGTTGGTCTCCTGAAAACAGGTTGAAGCAGCTGCGCAAACACCAACAAAACAAGGAGTGAGGAATCCTAAGGTTTTCTCATGATCGCCAGGTTCAGGCTCATTGCACAAGTAGATAGTTCCCGCGGGGTATCACGACCACGTGAACCTTGATAGCAATGATCATGTCTGCTCAAAACCGAGTGTTTCAAACATGTTTCTGCTGGTTCTATCACTGGGTACTGCAGCAACTACCTGTGCTTGGAAACCGTGAAAGCAATATGCAATTGAAGGTGCATCGAACACATTCGAACGAGTTAGTCCTTGTAGTTGTTGCTTTCGCTGTCGTGTGCTAGGGTTTGGCACATGACACGGAGGTCTCTGCTGTCTTCAGCGTAGCAAACAAAGTCGATTGACACCCCGTTGGAAAATACATCTTTCAACTTGGGACAGTGAATGTTAGTGGGATCACTGTCATAAATCTTCTTCAGCTCTGAAAGCACTGAGATGGTGTGAAGCCCGTCGTCCACAAGGATGAGGCCACGATTGTCGAGCAGGTTGCTGGCAGCATCAAAAGTTTTCAACAGGCGAACTGGTCGATGCAGACCAACTCCCCAATTGCCAGCTTGAAACTCCGATGTCAGCTGTTGGCAGCGTTCCCGATCAAGAGACCTCCAACCGCTGACACCTGGTTCTATGCTTATATCCGCCAGCTGCACTCTCTGGGCGGTCAAAATCACAGTGCAGCCAACCGCACTGCTTGCAGCCGCAGCACCTTTCGGAGGGGCCATGGAATATCAAATCCAAAACAGTCGTTGGGCTGGATCGTTTTTTCACCGCGCGCTCGTTTTTTTCACCGCGCAGGCACGAGCCCAAAATCTGATGTCACACATGTAATGTCATGGTAACAATTGCTTCATGTCATCGATACATTGTGAAAAGGAAAAGTAAGTGTCTGGTTGCTGCTTACCTGTAACATCAACTGTTGATACAATAATTCAGCGAAGAAAATCTCGGAGCAATGCTTTCAAACTGTACAACGAAGCTGCCACGCGCCTATGTCATACCCCATGACGCTTCAGGGGCATGTTAAACGAGGGGGCGAAACTGTGGGTGATCGTTTTTTCCACTCAATGGTTTCACATGGGTCTAGAGCCTGAGTGACCCCAACCACTCAAAAAATTGCCTTACTATCAAAACAGGTCTGAATAATGGGCTCCAGGTATATTATATAAGGATTGGACCATGAAGCTTTTGACACCATCCATGTCATTCAGATCCCACGTTGCAACGGCCAACCCCCCTTCACTCGCCTCTTAAAGGCCAGTGAAGTCAAGGGTCGGACGGTGCCAGTCACGACGCGCACGTTACGCCGCGAAGAAACGGCACGAGCCCGAGTGCTCAATTCCGCCCCCCTCAGCCCGGGCTCAGCGAGGATCCTGGCCAAGTGGATGACAATGAAAAGCCCACACAAACTGACTGGGGCTGAGGGGGAATGAATGAATTTAGGATCCAAAAGAATTGGCAATTGGGAGCTAGTCGAATCATTCCCTCATTCCCTACAGGGCACCAATCTGACGAAGGGCTTCGCCAGTCTGTACTGCCACTGGACACTACAACCCGAGTGGGATTCCATGGGGCTGGGATGGGTCGAGCGCCTGAGCACCATCAAAGGCTGGGTCGAGAGTTTTGAAAGGGCAAGCCCCACGAAAGGGAAGTGTCCTGGCAATCTCTTTGTAGTAAAGAAAAAACTTGTCCCAGGTCACTTGCTCAAATCAGAAGTCGTCACCGGCTGGGCCTCCAACGAACGGCTTAGTAGATGAA